TCTTTTACTGCAAAATCTGCACGCAAGGACTGAATAAGGTGCTGAATGATCTGTAAACAAGAGCCTGTCATGAGAATGTCATCCACATAAATTAAAATCAGAACACTGTGGTGCTTGTTACGCCAGATAAAGAGGGATGTGTCAGACTTGCTAGACTGAAAGTCAAGAATTTTCAATGCATCAGTAAGTCTAGAGAACCAAGCTCTTGGAGCTTGACGCAGTCCATAAAGAGATCTCCGTAATTTGCACACGTGTGTGGGAAAGCCAGGATGTTGATACCCTTGAGGTTGTGTCATATACACATCCTCTTCAAGAAATCCATGCAAAAATGCATTTTGAATATCCAACTGTTTGATGTGCCAACCATAAGACAGAGCAAGAGAAAGAACAATTCTGACAGTTGCATGTTTAATGACAAGACTAAATGTTTCATTGTAGTCAAGTCCCTCTAGCTGATGAAATCCCTTCGCAACTAGTCGAGCTTTGTAACGCTCTATAGTGCCATCAGCCCTTTTTTTGACTCTGTATATCCAACGATTGCCAACTACATTAGCCGAAGGTGGTGATTTAACAAGTGTCCAAGTGCCATTCCTTAGGAGGGCATCAAATTCCGCATCCATAGCAGCATGCCAATGAGCATGTTTAGATGTTTATGAATAACAAGTTGGCTCAATGGAGTCTTTCGATAAGGATATAGCTAGTGCTTTTGGTATAGGGTACCGTACATAGTCATCGGAAGGCTGCTTGTTTTTATGAATATTGTTCTTGGATCTGGTTGTCATGTGATGAGTATTACCAGGATTTTGGACAGCAGCAGGAAGTGTATTATTCTCCAAAGTGGCAGATGATGGAGAAGGAATGCTTGGACAAGGAGATTCTGAGGCAGCAAGCAGATCTGGTGCTGTGTTTTCACTACCTACAGATTGATAACTATGAGAGGAAATGTCAGCATTAATAGTTGGTAGAGGTTGATGTTGTGGTCTGCCATTGGAACTACTGGAAGGAACTTGCAATGTAAGAGGAAGAGGTACTTGAGTGACAGGAGTATAAGTATGAGTAGCAGGGGAAAACCTTTTTTTGTATGTAAATACATTTCATCAAAGATAACATGTCTGGAGACATAAATTTTGCCAGTAGATAGGTCTAAACACTTGTACCCGTGATGACTAACACTATAGCCAAGAAAAATGCATGTTTTACTTCGAAAATCTAATTTGTGTCGATTATATGGTCTAAGATTGGGCCAACAAGCACAGCCAAAGACACGTAAAAAAGAGTAATTTGGCTTTTTATGATATAAAAA